TAAACCTGCTTCTGTACCCAGCACACATACCTCAGCATGCTGTGCGCACCTGAACTGCACAGGAGTGAACACATCCCTCCATTTGTACATCTTACCACTGCAGTATGTGTCTGTTTATAGACACAGATCTTATTCCTCCTCTTTAACGTCATCACAGATTTGTAGCGCCCGGCACACCCGTATACAGGTGGGATTGGTGGGAGGTGGTGTCAGCTCATGATAAAGGCCTGCCCCTCACACACAGGTGTTTGATAACGACATTGCCTACATCGAGGGTGGAACAGCCAGTGGCTTCTACACTGTCGAGGACACGCACTATGTCACCAGGTGAGGAGGTGTGTGGGTGGGCAGCATTGACCTGGACTCAGCTTGGAAGGACTGGGGGGAGGGTGTTCGGGTAAACTGGTCCCGTGGTGTCCCCTCCAAGCCACGTTTGCTCCGGCCTCCAGGATGTACCGCGTGTATGGGAAAAAGAACATCAAGTTGGAGCCTGTGCCACTCAAGGGAGCCTCCCTGGACCCCAGGTGAGTACCAGCGATATGAGGTGGGGGTGCCTGACTGAACCTCCCCTTTCCCCAGTGGGGGTCAGATGTGGGCTCTAGAAGAAGAAGCCTTCCAGCAACTCTTTTAGACTCTTAGCCCCATGATGGGGGATTTGGGCCTGGGCACAGTCATTGCCTATAGCTGTCACAGCCCCTCCTCCCCTCCTGTCCAGGTTTGTTTTCCTGCTGGACCGGGGGCTGGACCTCTATGTGTGGCGGGGGGCCCAGGCCACGCTGAGTAGCACTACCAAAACCAGGTATGAGATGCACCCTGCTCAGACATGGGGAGGGCTTTTGTGCAAAGCAGAATTGTCACCTAAGAAGGGGTATGGGCCTTACTAAGGGCTTTGCACCTGTCCTCAGGCTTTTTGCAGAAAAAATTAACAAGAACGAGCGGAAAGGGAAGGCAGAGATCACGCTGCTGGTGCAGGGCCAGGAGCCCCCAGAGTTCTGGGAGGCACTAGGGGGTGAGCCCTCTGAGATCAAACAGCACGTGCCTGATGACTTCTGGCCGCCGCAGCCCAAGCTGTATAAGGTGAGCGGGGCTGTAGGGCGGGCCTGACTCCACCAGGGGTCAGGTGGGGGATGGGCCACGGACTCCGTGGTGACTGGTCTTCATCTGGACTTTGGTGTCGAGGGTGCCACCTTCTGGACAGAATCGCCCTGAGCAAAGGTCTGGAGGCTGGCTCTGAGTCAGGCCATTAGCATAGTGTTAGGCCGTGTTTGCTGGAAGGAGCTGCAGAGAGGGAGGCTGAGAGTGCCTGGGTGCTAGGCCTGAGAACCTGCCTTAATTCTGGGGTGTTGTGAGCAGAAAAAGGACAAGTTAGAAAATTAGAAAAAATAGTAAGTTCTGGAGAGAGTAGGCAGGAAAAGTACCATTTACAAGTCCTTCCACTGATAGGATGCCCTTACAATGACCTTGGAGTGGAGGGAAGAAACTAAGGCCCAGAGAGGAGCCGGCAGCAGACCTGAGTGCACACAGTAGGCAGGGCCAGGCTCCAAATCAGGACTTGTGGTGGGGCTTGTGTCCCAGACCCTGCCCCTACAGCGCTGGCCTTTCCTCCTGCTAGGTGGGCCTGGGCCTGGGCTACCTGGAGCTGCCCCAGATCAACTACAAGCTGTCAGTGGAACATAAGAAGCCGCCCAAGGTGGAACTGATGCCGGGCATGCGGCTGGTGAGACGCACAGGGAGGAGGCGAGGAGGCAGGACCTTCCCCTTTAGCCCAGCACTGGTTGACCCCAGCCTCTGGCCCTGCAGCTGCAGAGCTTGCTGGACACGCGCTGCGTGTACATCCTGGACTGTTGGTCCGACGTGTTCATCTGGCTCGGCCGCAAGTCCCCACGCCTTGTGCGAGCCGCCGCCCTCAAGCTTGGCCAGGAGCTGTGCGGGATGCTGCACCGACCACGTTATGCCACGGTCAGCCGCAGCCTCGAGGGCACTGAAGCACAGGTAGCAGTGCGGGCCGACTGTGCGAGCCACACCACAGGCTCCTCCCCAGGAGTCTGTGGATCCGTCAAAGCCCAGACCCTCTGAATCAGCTACTGCCCCGCAGAGCTGAGCCAAGCCCACCGCTTCTGTGCTGCTGCCAGGCCCCGCCCCTCCATGCCCCTCTCACTCCGGCTTCCTAGACCCCCTTTTCTTGGGCTCCATCCCTCCGTGACCTGCCCCTCCCACTTCTGGTTTCTAGACCCCACCCTCACACCCCCATGTCCGCCAACCGAGCCTCACCCCATCTACTTCCACCCCAGCCTTAACTGCTGACCCTCACTCGTGTTTTCTCCCCTTGGCAGGTGTTCAAAGCCAAGTTTAAGAATTGGGATGACGTGTTGACGGTGGATTACACACGCAACGCAGAGTCCGTGTTGCAGGGCCAGGGACTTGCCGGGAAGGTGAAGCGTGACGCTGAGAAGAAAGATGAGATGAAGGCTGACCTCACTGCACTCTTCCTGCCAAGGCAGCCGCCCATGGCGCTAGCAGAGGTGGGGTCGGGGCCTACGGTGATGGGTTGGGGCGGGGCCTAGGGTAATAGAACGTGGGGCGGGGCCTGGGTGATGGGGAGGGGCCTAGGGTAATAGGAAGGGGGCGGGGCCTGGGTGATGGGGCGGGGCCTAGGGTAATAGGACGGGGCGGGGCCTGGGTGATGGGGCGGGGCGGGGTGGACTTGGCCCTAGCTGAATGGGATGCAGCCTGCCCTGGGTTCTGGGAGGAGGCTCTGTGCAGGTCCCTGCCCAGGGAGGAGGGCCAACTCCAGAGGCCCACCAGCAGGGGGTGGGGTGTCACATGCAGGCTGAGCAGCTGATGGAGGAGTGGAACGAGGACCTGGACGGCATGGAGGGCTTCGTGCTGGAGGGTAAGAAGTTCGCTCGGCTGCCTGAGGAGGAGTTCGGCCACTTCTACACGCAGGATTGCTACGTCTTCCTCTGCAGGTGCTGTCCCCGAGCGCCTCCCTGGCCCAACCCCTCCCTGCCCTGGGCCCCTGCTCACTGCCCTCTGACCCTGCAGGTACTGGGTCCCTGTGGAGTACGAGGAGGAGGAGAAGGAAGAGAAAGAGGAGAAGGCTGGGGCCGAGGGCAAAGAAGGCGAGGAGGCAGTGGCTGAGGTGGACAAGCAGCCCGAGGAGGATTTCCAGTGCATCGTGTACTTCTGGCAGGGCCGGGAAGCCTCCAACATGGGCTGGCTCACCTTCACCTTCAGCCTGCAGAAGAAGTTCGAAAGTCTTTTCCCTGGCAAGCTGGAGGTGCGCCTGCCGGGCCCCTACGGCGCAATGCCACACCCCCATAGCCCGGGCGGGGGGCGGGGGGGGGGCGTCTGTGGGAGTGGGACTCAGACCCAGAGAAGGCTTGGCCCATGAAGGGTAGGGGGGTTCCACGGAGTTGCCCCTGACACTTGCATACACCCAGGTGGTGCGCATGACGCAGCAGCAGGAGAACCCCAAGTTCCTGTCCCATTTCAAGAGGAAGTTCATCATCCACCGGGGCCGGAGGAAGGCAGCTCAGGGTGCCCTGCAGCCCAGCCTCTACCAGATTCGAACCAACGGCAGTGCCCTCTGTACCCGGTGCCTGGCTGGGGAGGGGCACAGATGGGCAGGTGGGCTCAGTGAGCTACCGACCCCTTGCTGACCTCCCTCCCCCCGTGCCCAGGTGCATCCAGATAAACACCGACTCCAGCCTCCTCAACTCCGAGTTCTGCTTCATTCTCAAGGTGCGGCTGTGGGAGCCACCAGGACTGTGGGTCCGGGTGGGGGCTGCAGGGTGTGGGGGCTGCAGGGTGGGCCTGACCTGAACCCTCTGCACACTCCCCAGGTTCCCTTTGAGAGTGAGGACAACCAGGGCATCGTGTACGCGTGGGTGGGCCGGGCGTCCGACCCGGATGAGGCCAAGTTGGCGGAGGATATACTGAACACCATGTTTGAGGCCTCCTACAGCAAGCAGGTGACCAGGGCAGGCAGTGGCCAGATAGGCCAGTGAGGGCGGACAGGGACCCCGTGCTGAGCCAGCCTCTTACCCACAGGTCATCAGCGAAGGCGAGGAGCCCGAGAACTTCTTCTGGGTGGGCCTAGGCACACAGAAGCCTTATGACGACGATGCGGAGTACATGAAGCACACCCGGCTCTTCCGGTGAGGCTGGGCCAGGCCCTCCCCCGCTACCTCCTGCGGCCGGGGACTGCTGCTCATGACCCTGACGCTCTGCCTGACCCTTGACCCCCAGGTGCTCCAATGAGAAGGGTTACTTCGCAGTGACTGAGAAATGTTCTGACTTTTGCCAAGATGACCTGGCAGATGATGACATCATGTTGTTAGACAATGGCCAAGAGGTGAGGCCCCTGTGGACCCTGCCTGTTCAAGGAGCCCACCCATTTGTCAGTGGGAATCCTGAGCCCAGGTCCCCCCCCTGACCACCTCCCGTCATGCCCACAGGTCTATATGTGGGTGGGGACCCAGACAAGCCAGGTGGAGATCAAGCTGAGTCTGAAGGCCTGCCAGGTGAGCTGGGCGGAGGGAGGGCTGCGGCTGGCCGGAACGGTCTGGAAGGCCTGCCCAAGACTCATGCATGTCCGCTCCCCAGGTGTACATCCAGCACATGCGCGCCAAAGAGCACGAGCATCCCCGCCGCCTGCGCCTGGTCCGCAAGGGCAACGAGCAGCATGCCTTTACTCGCTGCTTCCATGCCTGGAGCACCTTCCGGAAGGCCCTGGCCTAGAGCAACTGCCACCCCCTGCAGTGCCCCTGTGGAAGCCCCAAGCTCAGGGTGAGGAGAGCAAGGGCCTCTTCACCCACCACCTAGCCAGGGGCTGTGTCAGGGGGCAGCCCTGCTATGTCATGCCCAGTGCCACAGCCCCCCGCAGCACAGCCCAAGTGGCACCAAGGGGGCAGCCCTGATGGGAAATGAGACCCCTCGGTGTGAGCTCATATGTGACACCCCCTTCCCTGCTAGGGATAAAGGAGACATGGTTGCCCTTTAAGAGATATTAAATGCTTTTATTTTCAATATTAAAAATCAGCATTTTTCATATTAAAACAGTGCTAATGTTAAAATTACAGAAAACCCCCAAGGTACAATCTACAGGGAAACCATTCTGACCCCCACATACACATACCTGACTGGGCCCCCATCCTGGGTGCCAAGGGAGCGCCCAGTGTCTCTCTCTCACACAAACACACGTACAGGGTGGGAAGAGGGGGACATGCTAGCCCAGGAACAGTACCAAAATAGTTTTAGAAATGAGTGTCCAGCCCAGCACTGTCCAGTCCAGGCATTAGAAAAATATTCTTTGCAAAAGGAGGGGGAAAGGATGGTGTGTGTCCTTCCTTGTGGCACCTGGCTTCCAGGTATTGCCTGTAGGAGAGGCCAGTCCGAGTCCACCCGAGTTCCAGGCCCACACCCCGGGGCCCACAGGTGAGCAGGTGTCGTCCGCGAAGGGCTGGGAGGGGACACAGATCCTGGATCCCAGCTCCAAGCAAGGCAGTGGTGGCAGGTAGTCCTGGCCTTCCTGGAGAGGAAGAGAAGGGTCAGCAGAGGTCCAGGGAGGCCAAAGGGGCAGACAACCTGGCTCCTTGGCTGCCACCTCTCAGGATCCTCCAGGCAGGCAAAGGGCCGCCCCACCCCGGGGGCAAGGACCCAGCAGTAACTGCTTGAAGAGGCTGGCCAGGCCTCAGCGTTGCGTACTTCAGCCCACTGTGGCCAGGGGTGTCCCCAGCAAGAAACAGAGAGCTGGGGTCTGTACCTGATTGTGGGTGTGGGTGTGTGTGTGTGTGTGTGTGGGGGGGGGCTCTAGGTAGCAAATAGGATGGGAAGACTTATGGACCCCAAATGTGGACAGGGCCACACTGAGGCTGGAGTGGTGGCCAGTCTCAGGCCAGGCCCCATTCGGGCTCACCCCACGGGGCCCCGCCTTGTGCCTGGGTGATCTCAGCTGCTGAAAGGGGCTGGCCAAACCTCCTGAGCCCAAAGCTGCCACCACCTCTTGTTCCGAACACAACCTAGGACACCCAGGGGCTGACAGGCTGGCTCTGTTTCTTTAATACGAAACAGTGAAGATCACATCTGTGCGGCCCCGAAGCCCTGAGGGACAGCCTGGAGAGCAGCAGGCTTCGGAGCACTGGCATCAGGGGCCTGGGCTCTCAGATGGGAAGCCAGGCGGGGCCCCTGGGGTTGAGGCCAAGAACCCAGGACAGCCAGAGTGGCCCACACTTGCAGCACCTCATTTAATCAGGATGGCACAGGCTCGAGCCTCATCTTCCACCAGGTTCCTCAGATTCTTCGCAGCCTCCTCCGAAGAGCTGGGGAAAGGGGCGGTGATCAGGACTTGGGGTGAGGCCCCCTCGCTCCTGCATGCCTGGCTGGGACACTAGGTTGGCTGAGGCGGGGAGGGAGGCTGGGGAGCCAAGGCAGCCCTCCTGTGGATCCTGCCCGCCCACCTCACCCCAGGAAATCCTTCACATCCTCCACCGTGATGTCCCCCGTTGTGTCCAGAGTGGTGTCAGCACTGATGGCCGAGTCAATGGACATGGGCGAGAGCATGGCCTCAGGCCGCTCTGGGGTGTCTGCAGGGAGGAAACGGCGGGCCTCTGTTAGGACCCCTGGGACCCTCTGCAGCCGTAGTAGGACGTGTTAAACCCCCTGCCCCGCTCTAGCCTGGCACACCCTCCCCAGGATTCCAGCTGTGCCTCCCGCAGAAGCCTCCCTATGTCTGTCTGGCTGGGGTCCTGCCACCCGTTTCATGCCCAGCCCCTCACCAGCTCTTTTGCTGTGCACAGGATTAGGGCTTCCATCACGGCTCTGTGGCGCCAGGAGGATGCCGGGGGTCCCGTTAGCCTGGCTCAGCTTGGGTGACTCTTGGAGTCTGTAGCTGCAGAGACAGGGCCATGATGGGGTCACAGGGAGGCCCCTCAAGGCTCAAAGGACCAAACCCCTGTCGTCCCATTCCTGAGACCTGGGACTAGAGAGACACCAGGGAGGGCCACCCTTGCTCCATGCAGAATCTGGGGGTGGGGACGACAGCAGCCTCGATCAAAGGCCTCCCGGGCCAGGGGCTACCCCCTCCATGTACCTGGCATGGGCAGCACCATGGGACCAGCTGATGTCCAGAGAACAGAGTGGCTCTGTGATGTTCCGGGCACTTAGGGAGAAGCGTTCAAACTCCGATGGGGAAATCAGGTAAAAACCTGGGTGGGTGGGAGAGAAGGAGCCAAGAGAGAAGTCAGGAGATGTTCCCACCCTCAGCCCCGCAGCTGGTCTCTGCCCGCACGTGCTGACTAGCCCTCCCGCACCCTGGCCGGCGCTGTGCCCACACTGGATACCCCCTCTGCTGACGCTCTCGGGAACACTCCTGGACCCGCTTGGGCCCCTTGCCCCAGAAAGCCTTCGCCTCACCCTGGCCGTGGCGCGTGAAGACACAGGAGGCGATGCCGCTGATGTCCTCCTTCCGGATGCAGGAGTAATGCACCTGGGGCCTCAGGCCCGGCACCGAGAAGACGTGCACGTCACCCAGGTTGGTGAGGCAGGCCAGGCAGGTCTCGGCATAGTCCTCACAGGCCACGCTGGCGAATGTGGCCAGTGCCACCTTGCGCACACGACAGCCCTCATGGGCTGTCAGCTTGAACTTGGTCTTGGCGCTCACCTTGGGTAGTGTGAACACCTGGCAGCGGGCAGATGGCCAGTGAGCACAGCCTGGTCCAGTCCACGCCCCGAGCCCTACGCAGAGCCCAGCCTGCCACACAGGCCCATGCCCCTGGCCACTAGCAACCCTGCCTGAACACCCACCCTGGAGCTGCCCTCAGACCTGACCCGGCTCCACACTGCTCCTAGAGCCTCCCAGGGCCCCGCCCACAGAGCCTGGCAAAACCAGTCACGCTGGGTTGTAAGGGTTAGATGGTTGGTATGTCCCCAAACCATGACCTCCTGCCAGAGCCCAGAGGAGTGGGTCAAGGGGTTCTGGTGGGGGACCCAGTGAGGTAGGAGGGTCCTGCAGGCATACAAGCTGAGGAAGTCCTCGGGGTTCTGCAGGAGCACCTCTGCTAGCTGCGTGGGGTCCTGCGGGGGCTCAGCAGGTAGGGAATAGGCAAGGCAGGAGTTCTAGGGGGTCCAGTGGTATCTAGGAGGCAGGAGCCTGGAGGTATCTGCAGCAGCTCACCTTGAACTGCTCCTCAGACGCGATGAGCACTGCATGGCCACCCTGCATGTCCGGGGCCTGGGCCAGGTCCTGAGAGGCCTCGAAGGGCTCAGGCAGTGGGCGGCCACGCCCATCCAACACAGCAATGGCCACCACAGGCGCACGATGCATTAGCTGCACCTCCTTGCCCAGCACAGCCTCCACCGCTCGCTCGGGCCGCTTCTCGCTGCCTGCCACTGCCACTGGCACCTCCAGTGCGTAGGCAAACACAGAGCCTGAGTTGGTGCCTGCCCACATGGTGGGTCCGTGGTGGGCCGCTGTGGGGCAACAGGCTGTGAGGCAGGGATCAGCCCATACACAACAGATCCCTCCCCTCCTCTCCTGACACTGGGACCCAGGGCTGGGTCTCTCCTGCCCCACTTCTTCGGGGTGACCTCAGCCAGCCTTGTGGCCTTGGGCACCCTCTTTAAACTGCTGACCACAATCCGAGCCTCGGACACAACTCCCCTAAAGAGCCATCTTCACGGAGATGTCAATGGCACACAAACTGGACCCTGACCTCCCAAACCCACGCACTGCACCCTCTGCCCCCTCTCAGCAGTGCCGCCCCATCACAAAGCCCCAGCTCTCTCCAAGCCCCACATCCCCTCACCAGCCCTGGCAACACACTCAGAATAGGGTCCTCACCCCAAAGGTGCATCAGGGTCCCAAAAGCACCCGATTCACCCCCACCCCTTCAGTGTGTCCATGCAGCAGTCAGACACCAAGTCCCAGGCCTGGGCTGAAACGAGAGGGGACCATCTCGCCCCTCGCCCTGTGTGAGCTGAACCTCTGGGGAAGACCCTTTAGTGGAGAATCTGAGCTAAAAACCCAGGAGCCAAGGTGGGCCCGAGCAGTCCTGGCTTCACGCCCTGGAGGCACGGTGACCTCAGCAACAAGCATCAGGGGAGCCGAACCCCAGCAACAAGGTAGTGAGCCACTCACACAGCTGACACCCCAACCCCCAGCCAGCCAGGAACTGAGCCCCAAGGGCCTTTTTACAGTGACTGGTAGAGACCCACGGGGATGCCACGTCCAAACAGTGGGGAAAATCCACGGATAAAGGACCCTCAGCAAATAAGCAACACCAGAAGGGGCCTTGCTCACCCAGAGACTAAAAGACACACCACTAAATGCCCCGTGCAGGCTGGGGGCTGACCCAGCACCAGCCATACAAGGCACTTTTAAGATGAATGGAGACAGAGACTCCGGGATCAGTATCAGCTCCATGGGGTGCAATGCGGGCACCACAACTGTAGGTCACATCTGTTAGACACGAACTCAAGTACTCACGCTGGGTTTCAGTTAAAACACTCCAGCAAAAAGGTAAGCGACACAGTGCAGTGGCAGCAGCGCCAGGTGGGACACGGGGTGACTACTCTCTGGTTTTGTGTAGGGGTCAAAGTCCCAATTATGTGAGTTGGAAATCAACCGATGAATTACTCAATAAACCTGACGACCGCATTTCTCTGCAGGACGCGCTCAGGGCTCCAACCACTTGGGGTCAAAGCCAGCTCCTTAGCAAGGCAGACAGCACAGCTCCTTGCGGATCCCTCCCCTCACTACTGACAGGCCGTGCGGCAGTCTCCCCACACTCACCCACCTCACACTCTACCCCCAAATCCTGAGCTCTCAGGTCTGAGGTCCTGTAGCTCCCTCCACAACCCCGTGCCAGCGGAAATCCCAGGGGAACTGTGTGGCTGGCCCGGCACCTTGCTGCCAGTGCAGCCTGGAGGCACCAGTAATGCTCTCCCACCCCCTGGGAGAGGCTGTCCCACCCCTGCCCCGCTGCCCATTTCCTGGATGGCCAACAGAGGCCTGCTTTGTTTCTCCAAACCCTGGAGAATCTGAGCTAAAAACCCTCTCCTGGCCTCACCATCTCGGAGAAACGTGTCGGCAAAGTAGAGGCAGCGCACCACGCCCGAGAGGGAGTCATCGGCTGAGCGGGGCTCGATGCGGCGCTGCACGGGGGTCATCTCCACGTCGTGGGGGCAGGCCTGCTCTGCCAGCTGTGCGTTGGCCTCCTGCAACTGGGGGAGCGTGGGGCTCCAGGACACTGTCATCTCCCTCAGAGCCCAGCACCCACTTCCCATCACCCTCCCCAGCTCCCCTGATCACCCAGGGCTGAGGGCTACTGAGGGTGGGCAATAGGGGAGCAGACACAGGGCCCCGGCCAGGGCCAGGCCTGGCTCCAAGTCTACACTGCAGCCTCGGGGGGTGCTTCCTGGCAGGCTGGCCCCAGCTCACCTTGCTGTTGGTATTAACAACCCGTTTCTTGCCCGAGACTCGGCTTTTACGGATGCGCCGGAAAGACTGGCGCAGAGACTTCTTGAGCGACTTCACCCGGGAGAGCGGCCCCTCCATCGCCAGGGAGTCATTGGGGTGAAGCGTGCACCTGGGGGCAGACAGGCACCCGTTGGGCTACAGAGCAGCCTCCTGGAGCAGCCTCCGTGCTCCTGTTGGCCCGGGGGCCAGGCATTAATGGTCCCAGGTCAGGAAGCCCAAACCCCACCCTGCTGCCCTGCCGACCCAGCATCTGGTGGGCTCAGCACTCTACCAGCAGCACTTCACATAAGGTCGAAGTTGCCAAAAGCGCTAGAGCCACCTTCACCACAAGCCTTACAGCAGCGGTTCTCAACCTGTGGGTCGAGACCCCTTTGGGGGTCGAACGACCCTTTCACAGGGGTCGCCTAAGACCATCGGAAAACACATATATAATTGCATATTGTTTTTGTGATTAATCACTATGCTTTAATTATGTTCAATTTGTAACAATGAAAAGACATCCTGCATATCAGATATTTTACATTACGATTCATAACAGTAGCAAAATTACAGTTATGAAGTAGCAATGAAAATAATTTTATGGTTGGGGGTCACCACAACATGAGGAACTGTATTAAAGGGCCGCGGCATTAGGAAGGTTGAGAACCACTGCCTTACAGGAACCTGAGGCCTAGCTGGGAGTGGGGAGACACCAGAGGTCCCCTGGCGCTGGGGCCAGGTGGACATGCAGACCCCTCCCCAGGCTCTAGGCCCACACCCACACACCTGGCCAGCACAGGGCTCTTGCGCTGGTAGTCGAAGAGACCAAAGCCATGACTGGTGCCAAAGGCCACGAGGCTCCACTCCGTGTGCAGCGTGACAGCGGTGACGGCGGCTGGCGGCAGACACTGAACCAGCACTCGGGGCTGGAAGCCGGCTGGCCAGGGCAAGGGCCCCGTGCGCGGGCTCAGCCGCTCATGGCCCTTCCACGTGAAGCCCTCTCGGTCCTGGAGGAGGTCCACACTGGCCATGCTGACCGCCTGCTCTGATGGCATGTCACTGAGCTCCAGCACCAGCACCTGAGCCCGCAGGCAGGGCAGGGGAGGGGTCAGCATAGAGGATGGGCCACCATGCCCCACTGGAGCCTGCAAAGTCACTGTCAGGTCCTGGGATTGTCTCATTTATCCACTGAATAAGCACTTACTGAATGCCTACTGTACACTAGGGCCTGCACTGAGGAACACAGTGGTGACCAAGACCCACTGGTCCCTGCCCTGCTAGAGCAAAGTACCCCACCACCACCACGCCTAAGGCATACATTGAGCACTTTCTGGATACTCTGAGCGCTGGAAGAATAGCACTGAACAGACTGCTGGTCCCTGCCCTCCCAGGGTTCATCTAACATCTGTGCTCCAGCCCTGGCCCTAAGCCTCCAGGTGCCCTACAGCCAGAGCTTGGACTTAAAGCCCCAACAACAGGCCCACCTCCCTGGCTGGCCTCACCCCACCTGGGGCCCCATTCCCACCTCTGGGCCAGACCCTCCAGTTCAGGCACACCTCTTCCAACAATCCCTCCAGAACCCCAGCCCGGAGGACCTCTCAGGCTCACCTGGCCTGCAGTGCCGGCCACCACCATCTGTGCTGTATACTTGCAGAGTGCCACCTTCTGCACCCCAAGTCGGGGGTCATCACTGTAGGGGTCAAAGCAGCCCACCTGGGGAGTGGGTTGGAGTGATGACACAGGGCAGAGCCAGGACCAGGCTCCTGGGGTTGGGGGAGGGGCCCACCTTGCGGAAGGGCGGCCAGTCGTCCTCGGGGGCCTGGGCCAGGCTGTCGGCGTGCTCACAGTCGGTCTGGAAGAGGCCAGCTGTGCTCAGCTTGTAGAGCGGCCGCAGCGCCACGCCAGAGGCGTCCCAGAACCGCACAGTGCCGTCCTCGTGGCTGCAGGGAGGAAGCCATCAGGCCCAGGCCGGGCCTCCGCCCATTCCTCCATCCACTCATCCCGGGGCCATCATTGAGCACCTACTGCACAAGCCAAACACTGCCCAAACGCCTACTGTATACAGCAAATAGGAAGCACCTACTGATTAGGCAAAGACATACTGAGTGCCGACTATATGCCAGGCCACACGCACCTGGGCCCTTCAAACAGGGTGAGAGGTGTAGAAACAATCACCAGTGTGACGAGCAGGAAGTGGAAGAGGGGAAATCCAGGGAGCAGAGGACTCAGGGGTTCTGTCCTCACTGGGTCACCCAGCAAAAGGGATCCGGAGTTAGCAGGTCACAGAGCAGAGGGGTCAGCTGGGCCCGAGGTAGCAGCAGGAAGACTGGGAGGCCAGCAGAAAGCAGGGAGAGGAAGGGAGGGAGGAGCAGGCCAATCTGGGTGTGGCCTCAGGCGGGAAGCCCTGGCATGAGGAGCAGGCGTGTGGGGCTGGACGGGAAGCCCCAGCAGCCCTGAAAGCCACGGTTAACCGTTTCCAAGCAGGAGAGGGAGGCAGAGCCAGGGCCCCCAGATCCCAGCACAGGCAGGCAGCAGGGGCAGGGCAGGAAGTCAGGCCCTGAGTCACTGGGCACGTCAGCACCCGCCGGGCCCAGGCCAGGCTCTTCAGCACGGGGCCCGGGCAGCCCGGCACAGGCCAGCCCAGATTCCCGGTCCCGGGGCAGGCTAGGTGGGCAGAGTTCAGTTCCAGGCCAAAAGACAGGGCAGGGAGGGGCTTGAACCAGGGTCTAAGAAAGCTACGATCCCAACCCACCCTCCTGAAGGGGGAACCCGGTCCCACCAGGGGCCAGGCCTGAGTCACTGGGCAGGTCAGTACCCGCCTCGTCTAGGCTGGGCTCTCCTGCACCTGCATGGGCTGTGCCCGGCCCCACGCGCCCACATACACACACATACACGTCACAACTGTGCTTGGCCAAGGGGCTAGGTCTGCCCTACCCAGTCAGCAGCAGCCCTCGTTGAGATGGTTCCTGGGCCAGGTTCCGGCCCCCGGTGATGGGCCAGCTCTGGGAGAGGGCGAAGGTATCAGTGAGGTCAGGACAAATTCTTCTCCCTTTTACCCTGGGCTGACACCCAGGACCCAAACTGCTTCCGAGTCCCCAAGGTACACCTGGCACATTCCACCTCCAGCTTTGCATCTGGGCTGCACTTCCACAGGGAACACCCTCCCCCCACAAGGCTGGGCGCACAAGGTGCAGGCACACACCGAGGCACTGGAGGCAGGCTGGGCACTCTGCTGTTCCCCAGCGCTCACGATGCGGGCCCACAGCTTGGCAGGGACATTGGCCACGTGGGCCGAGCAGGTGATGGCGGACGAGTGCAATGGGGCCAGGTATGGAGCAGGCACCACCGGCCAGCCGGGCATTTGCAGGTCCAGCACCACCAGCTCTTCTTCGAGCAGCACAGCCAGGGCCTGGGGCTCATCGAACTCTGTGGGACAGGGGCAGGGTGAGGAGCACGGCCACAGGCAGTGCCGAGTACCGGGTGGGGGAGGGCAACACACCATCCTCTGGTCGCATGCTGTGCACCGTGAAGAAGTCAATGATGCGGGAGGTGAAGTCCAGTGTCACCAGAGTGTCTGCCCGGAGCACACTCACACAGTGGCGGTCACCATAGCTGGCACGGGGCATGCCGCCGCTAAAGATGATAAAGTGGCCCCTATACAGGGGTGGGGTCCCTGTGAGCCACCTGGGTCGGGAGCACACACTGCCCAATCCAGAGAGAGCATCACAGGACAACCCTGAGACCTGAGCCCAACCTCCACCCCAGCCAGATGCAGCCCCCGACCCACACCTGGACCCAGCTCCCCACCTACCCAGATGCACAGTTTCGCCACAGAATCTTATTGATGGCTTTGCAGGGAAAGGGGCCTGGAGGGATGGGACAGTGTCAGGCTCATTTGCTTGCCAGGACCTGAAGAGCCTCAGGTCGCATTTCTTACCCCTTCTCCCATCCTGCCCACATCACTCCTGCTTCATGGCTGCTTCCTGCCTTCCAGGGGGGAAGGCCCACTGCCCCTAACAGTATACCCCACAGTGGGAGGGGGGGCTCGCCTTTGCACATTTGGCATGGCGCGGCCACCTTCCAAAAGTCCTCCTGGATGCCCCCACAAAGCAGAGGCGGCCACGAGTGCCTGAGCTTGGGATCGACCACCCGTCAAAGCCCTGTGCTTAGGCGGCAGGGCTGCCCTCAGCCTGCCCAGCACTCACCGTAGGGCATGGTGGCCATGGTAGGTTGCATTACTGGAGAGCTGCCAGTGTCCGCAGACCAGATGGCATAGCTGCCATCGCTGTGTGAGCTGACCAGCGTGCTGCCACTGCGCTCCCAACACAGGCTCTCCAGCTGCTGTGGGCAGAGCAGGTGGGCATGAACAAGGCAGCCACAGCAGAGGGCCCCGGCTATGGACACAGTCTCCCACACCAACCTGGTTCCCCAGGAAGACGCGGTCCACACACTGTGCTGCCTGGTTCCAGATGACCAGCAGGCCCCGGCTGTAGCCAATGAGGATCCTGGTGGGGTCCCGCAGGTGTCCCTGCAGGGACTCCACGGGGCCCAGCGCCTTCCCGCACCGGTAGTCGTCTGGCAAACTGCAGAGGAAGCCCAGGTGAGCCAGCAGGAGAGCTGCCCAGGCAGTGGGTGTGGGAAGCCCGCCTGCCTCTCACCTTCGCAGAACCTCCTCAGGGCCAAGGGTCTGACCCTCAATCAGCATCAAGGTGGAAACATCCAGGAAGAAGACGCTGCCACCTTCAGTGCCCAGGGCTGCCATGTTGCCAGCAGCCACAAGCAGGATCACTGTGACGTGGGCAAGGGTGGGCGGGCCACTATGGGAGACAGAGGGAGGTGGGGGCGGGTGTGGGCTCCTGCTGAGGAGTGCAGAGGGTGCTAATGAGCTGCTACTGTTAGAGCATTGTGGCCCCTCTGCACTCACTGGGACCTGACTATCCAGTGGGCTGGTGAACTGGGAAGGCAACAGTGGTGGCATCATAATTAACTCGCTCAATTATTCATCAGGAAGTCAGCATGTCAGCTGGGACCTCTGGTCTCGGAGATGGGCTCCCAAGTCCCTCCCACCACCAGGAGGGCAAGGCAGGAGCCAGGCTCCTCCGCTGCCCCCTGGAGCATCCTGTCAGCACCGCACACAGCACACAGCACGGCCTGGCAGGACCCTCCTTCCCCCAAGCTTACCCTTTCACCTGTACACACTATGGCCTGTCATCCCAGCCTCAACTAGAGACACCAGGGGATCTGTGCTGATGGGAGCTCAGCTTGGACCTGCCCCACACCCGCCACTCCGCCACTCCGCCACTGCAGGGAGCGCAAGGCCACCATCGGGTGCGCAAGTCTGGGGCTCAGTGCACCTCCCATCCTGCTCCTCTGGTGCAGCAGCACAAACCCCACCTGCTCACCTCAGGCTCAGCCGCAGCTTCTCTTCTAACACCCGCCAAGCCCCTGGAGCACTGCTCAGTGACGAGGGGTCCAAACGCTGCCTCTGGGACCCAGGCTAAGCTCAACATCCCCTGCCACCCTAAACCCAGCCCTCACCAGTTTCTCGTCCCCACCATGCCTTCGCAAGGCTGGCTCCCCAAGCCTAGCGGCTGGCCCCCGGCCAAGCCCACCAGTACCTGGCACCGTCAAAGCCCAGTCGACTGGGCAGTTGAAAGCTGAGTGCTTCCTCCAGGTGGGCACAGCCATTATGGTGGACGATCTCCCAGAGATGCAGGCTGCTGTCATCCAGCAGGGTCAGGAGGCGGCCCTAGGGGGTGTGCAGAGACCAAGACTGGGCGGTAGGACTGGGAGGGGGTCCCAGGGTTCACAAGCCAGCCAGCGGGGGCAGAGGCTCACCTGGCCAGGCAAGAAGTGCATCTGGGTGACTGTGGCCATTTCCCGGTGCAGGCCTGTGAATTCCACACCAGGTGCGCCATAGCTAAGGGCAACAGGTCAAGGGCAGAAACAGGCAGAGACACCCAGCCTCCTCCTCCTCCAGGGCCATTCTGATAGCTCCCAGCCAGGCCTGCCAATCCAGGAGCCCTCCAAAGTCCAGGTGGGCCCCTCCCTGAAGAAACACTGTCCTGCACCCCCAAGTCATCCTCAAGCTCAGAAGGCAGGCTCCACTCAGCTCCTGCAAGTCCTGCTGTGGTACAACCTTCACATCTTTAGCTATAAAACGGGTAGTGGCTCCCACCTCACAGGGCTGACCCAGGGCACGTGAGAATAAAACATGCTCAGCACACGCGGCCCACTCTCCATCAGCCTCACGTGTCCGTGTGCACGAGAGCTGGCCCCACAGGCAGCGAGGCCAGGCCAGGCTCGGGCAGGAAAGCTGCTTCTTCCCACAGCTCCAGGCCCCATTCCAGCCACAGGCAAGGAAACCAACCTCCCTCTGGGGCAGGCAGGCAGCGGCCCCCACCCGAGAGAGGGGAGAGGCCAAGGCCTGTCCCTTCACAAACCAGCACTCAGAGGCTTGAAGAGGTTGGGTGACCTGCTTCCAGTGCCTGGCATCAGTACCAGAGTCTCAGCAACTCCAGGTTTGACAGTGAACAGGCAGGGCCCCGGGGGCCCCGGAGGGAGGGCAAGGGAGAGGTCAGCAGCGTTGCCTGGGGACAATGCAGGAGCCAAGCCGTTGCTTGGAGCTGGAGCTAGGATTCCCTGCAGGAGCTGGAAGCACACAGAAGAGGGGACAAAAGAGGGGGCAGGAGTGCTGGGCAGGAACCAGAGTCACCAAGGAGACAGGGGGAGGGGCGCCTCTGTGTGGAAGGCCTTCTTCTCAAGCCTCAGTTTCCCAGCCCAGGGGTGGTTTGGGGCAGGAAGGAGGGATTGGGGAGAGCTCTGGCCTCCTCTGAGGCTCTCCTAGACGTTCCACAGGTTCTTTGTGAGGATGAGAAACCGGCGCCCAAGACAGACCAGGACACAAGGAGGGCCAGCACCAGAGGCTAACAGACGCCTGACACGGGGCACCATGCGACACCACCTGCGGAGCACAGCACGTGGGGCAGGACAGCACCTCGAGGGCTGGGAGCAGCAGGCAGGAAGTGGATGGGGATGGTGCTGGGGGAGCATCCGGCCCAGCCACACCCCCTAGTGTAGGCAAACTCACCAACTGCAGGTCCAGACGCCCACGCCTCCCCTCCCCTTTACAGGCATTTACTCATTCTGTGCCGCCCAATGTCCCTGATGAGGACGCTGAGACCCAGAGGGTCACATGGGGAGGGGTGGAGGTGGGCACCTCACACCAAGCAGGTGCCAGACAGTCTGCATCTCCGTTTCCCGGAGGGAGGGAGGGCTTCACTTCAGGCAGTGGAAGTGCGATGCTCCGCACCAGGCAAGAAGGCATCCAGCTGTCTGCTTGCCCCCACCCACCCGGGCTGACAGGGAAAATGCCCGCTTTGTGCGGCACACACAGCCCATTGTGCAACCGCCAGCATCCAGGTGGGGGCCGAGCTGCGCTCACCATGCCGAGCCTGGCACTGCCCCCAGCCCCTCGGCTGGACACGTGTCTCACATTGGTACACATGTGTAGCCGGTCACCAGGGAAAGACCCACTTATGTGACCCTGGCCCACCCACCAACCTTGACAGGTATCAAGATAGGCCAGCCCCCTGGCCCAGCCACCCTTGTTACAGTTGCTGGGACAATGAATAGCAGGGTCGCCTAGGTAACTGGCTGGCTGAAATGCAGTGAGGGACAGCTGTGGTCACTGCAAGCGGTGCCCCCCACCCCCGCATTATCTCCATGAGGAGGGATCTGAGGGCAGAAGCTGCACCAGCCTCCACCAGGTCCAGATACCTTCCACAGCCTCCCAGGCTGGGGCCTGCCCAGAGCCAGCGCATAGGTAGCTACAAGCAGGTGGTCCTCACAGCCCCGAAGACTGTGCCCCGCAAAGGATACATCTTGACGGCCCCAGACCTGGTGCCAATGGCCATGATGCGAAGCTCGGGGTCGAAGGCCAGGGCGCTGGGCTGGTTGGGGAAGCCATGCTCCACGGTCTGCGGGGGGAGGGGAGGACACTTGCACAGGCACAGCTGCCCTGGCCCACCCAGAGGCCCGCCCCAAGGCAGCCCCAGGCTCTGCTGCTGCTGTGCACCAGGACTCCAGCTGGATCCCTGTGCTGTGTCTGCAGCCTCACTGCGAAATGGGCAATCATGCCTCCAGTGGGTACGGAGGGGCTGAGCCAAGCCCCCGTCCCTCGGCATTTGTGTCCATCCCACTGTGTGCAGGGCTCTGACAACAGGCAGGAAGCACAAGGCTCAGAAGTAGGCCTCTGCCCCAGGGGCTCCGCCCTTATTCCTAGAGGCACGGACTGAAGCTTGGTGAGGCACCATGCTGTCTCGGTCCCCCGTGAAGTCCATGGTACTTCCCAAACACGGGCCCCACGTGGAGGTCAGAGGCCAACCCCCAAGGTCATCTGGGCAGAGGCTCGTGACAATCTCCCCAACCCCAGAGTCAGAGACAGAGGAGCTACCTGCACAGGCCCTGAAGGTGTCACCCACCTCCCAGACTTGGGTTCCCCAGCTGGAAACTGAGCAACAAGGTCCCCACCGCCTCTGTGGCAGGGATGGTGTGAAGAGGGCCTGTGCACTGTTGGTATTAATGGAATGGCTTCCACCTGGTCCTCTGCTCCTGGCAGGGCCAGTCCCAACGTACACTGGTCCCAGCTTCTCCAGCCCAACTTGGGCTTTCCCTCGTCGCCGACCCACCCAAAAAGCTCATACTCATCCCCCGAGGCCTAGCTGGGGCCTCTGCCTGGAATGTCTATACCCCAACCCCATGTCCTCAGCACCAATGTGGGATACCACCTGTGGGCCACAGATACCTCTTGATCACTGCCTCAGCAAGACACTCATTTTTTAAGAAACCGTGATTGCCTGGACAGGTGGCTCAGTTGGTTGGAGCGTTGTCCCATACACCAAAATGTTGCAGGTTCCTTTCCTGGTCAGGGCACACAACGAAGTTAAGGGTTTGATACCCAGTTTGGGTACGTATGGGAGGCAACTGATCAATGTTTCTCTACCACATTGATGTTGAGAGAAAGAGAGAGAGAGAGAGAGAGAGAGAGAGAGAGAGAGAGAGAGAGAGAGAAAGAGAGAGAAAGGAAAGAGAAAAGAAAGGAAAATAAAAGAAACCCGGGTCCCCAGGCCTCTTGCCTCAGCCTCCCTCCCGCCTCAGCCCATCCAAGCAGGGACTGAACCCTCCGGATGCTGGCCTTGGGCTAGTCACAGCACTCTTCAAGCCTCAGTTTCCCATTTGAGCACTGGGGGACAGGGAGTCCACTGGAAGACACAGGTGCCCATTTGGCTGAGGGTGGGGGGCAACTTCCCTTTCCCACCAGCACTGCTATGCCAATGCTGGACCTGACTGGCCAGTCCCCCCTCTGCTCAGGAACCCTCCCACCCCAGGGTTCCCAGCTACCTGGAGACGGTAAGTCCTCACATCTGGACTTGTCTTCCTCCTCCCACTCTCTTCCCCTCACTTAATTCTAGGCCCAGTGGCCTTTTGATCTCCTCCAATTTACTAGGCAGGTTCCTGCCTCAGGGCCTTTGCATCTACTATCCCTCTACCTGGGAATGTGCTTTATCCAGCACTCCCCAGCACTCGGGGCCCCTAAGCCATCCTGGCTACAGCAGCCACCCCTGCTCACGGGCTCCAGGCCCTCACCCTACCTTTTTTCAATCCATAGTACTGGCACCATCCAAACTGCTGCATATTTTGCTCTTTTGTTTTGGCTTTTCACTATCTCCTCCACTACGACATCAGCCCCCTGAATGAAGAGGTATTTGTCCCTTTTGTCCTCAGCACCTAGAACTCACACAGTCAGAGCTCAGTGTCAGGGGACAGAGTGGACACACCTCCCACAGGCAACACGTAGACAGGGCTGGGATGTGGACCCAAGACTGAGTCCAAAGTGGATGTCTGCGCCTGTCCCCCCAATCCCACTAGAGAACCTGGGTCTAATCGCTCTTATTGTATTTTTGGCATCTATTCTCTAGTGATCACTTACCACCCCCTCTGGGGAGCCAGCCCCTTGCCCAAGACCACCTCCCTCCTACCACTGCTGCCCACTCAGAACGGGTCCTCACTCTGCTTAGCGGGGAGCCCTCCCCTTTTGCCAAACAGGACCAGCCAGGGGGGCGAGCCTCCTAGCCTGCCACCATCTGTTCCATGTCCCCACTTCACACCCAACTCACTGGCTGAGGAAGTGACACCTTAGCTCAGTGCCTGCCCCCAGGGGCACTGTCATTCTTCTCTCACCTCCCAGGGGCTCGGCACAGAAGGGGGACCTGGCAGCGCCTTCCCCCTGGGCCTGCAGGCTTCTGGCAGGTTCCTGGAAAGTCTGAGGGTCCTGGCAGCCCCCCCACCTCAGAAGCCCTGCCTGCCCCGGGAAACGCCCTGGTGCCTGGCCACTCCAGGTCTAGCCGGCCCAGAGCTTCCTCCTGGACCAGAGTCTCTTCTTGGACCACAGCAGCCCTCAAAGCTAAAGTCAAATCCCTACCAATAGGGAGAAGGACGAAGTGACCCAGTTCTACCTGTGACTCCGAGGCTCCATTTTCTCACCTGGGCGCCGGGGATAACAGCTCAGCTCCCCGGAGCCTCGGGCCTGTGCAGCAGAGGGCTCTGGGCTAGAACTCCTCGGGGGCGGGGGGCGGGGGGGGGGGGGGTCAGCCGGACATAGCCGGGGCTCGGGCCACCCAGGCAGAGGGCGGTGGGGGCGGAAGACAGGGGGCGGCCCTCCATCCCCCGCTAGGCTGCAGGGCTCAGTGGCACAGGAGGTCCAGCAGGGAGAAGGGAGCTCCATGTCCAGGGAAACTGAGGCCCCACAACCTCAAGCGCAGGGGGGTACACAGCCAGGCATCTCCCCTGGAGCCCCCACCCCGCCGGGCAGGGCAGGGTCGGGAGCCCTGGGTGAGGGAGGGGAGGGACATGGAGGGATTCCCCAACCCTCACCCTCCCCATCTGCCTCCTCTCCTCGCCCCTCCCGCTCCACCTGGGCTGCCCCGAAGGCGGACAGGGATGTGGGGAGCCTCCGAAGAGGGACAGAAAGATGGAATGAGCGAGAGACAAAGTGAGAATTCGGGAAGCCCGCAGGATGGAGAGGCAGTGGAAGAGGACGGCACCGCTCGGAGAGGCAGAGAAACAGGCGCGAGATGATGGGAAGCGGAGAGGAGACCCGCGGAGACGACACACGGGGACCGAGGCGGGGAACCCCCGCCCCAGACGCGCGGGCAGAGGTTGAGCTCGGGGGGGGGGCGGTCAAGCCGGAGGGCGGGCAGCGACGCCGAGACCTGGGAGAGGGGCCGGGGCGGCCCGCAGCCCCGGAGAGCGGACCGGGAAGTCGGCGGAGACCCGCAGCCCCGGAGACGTCGGAGCTGGGGCGGAGGCGAGGGCGGCCTCCGCGAGCGCCCGGCCCGCCGCGCTCCCGCCGGGCGCTCCCTCCCCGCGGCCCGACGTGGCTGCGGCGCCCGGGCCCCCGGCCCTGGCCCGCACCCTCCCGCCCAGCCCGGGCCCCAGCGCCGCACCTTGTGGAAGGCGAAGAGCTCCTGCTTGAGCTTCTCGCGCTGCGGGTCCGCGCCCTGCCGCCGGAACCGAAACTTCATCATCTTGCGTCCCTCCGCCGCCGCCGCGCCCGCCGCCGCCGCAGCCGCCGCAGGATGCGCCGCACGGCCCCGCGGGTCCT